ATTAAGGAAAGACGTTGCTTTATCAGCGCCCTCTGGACGTCTCTCAGTTTGACAACAAGATGAAAATTAATCAAATGTTATGTACTAGAAGGTTGTAGAATAACGCTCTCTTCACTGCCTTATGAACGCCTTTTCCATTTTATAAATATACAAGAGCGTCGGAAAAATAAATTTTAATCTAAAACAATGTATAAATACACACCATTTCCAGCTCAGAATATAATTTATTGTATATAATAAACTGTGGTTGAAGTAATCATTTTAAAAAAAAATCAGACTACGTCTTTCATTTTATATTTCTATTAACCTTCAAGTGACGTGTGATGTTTCAAAAACGAGTAATCGAAATTCGAACCAATTTTTTTTTCTTCTTTTTTGTCGACTATAAAGTTAATTGTTCAGTAAGGCCAATGATGTTGATAAGTAAGCGTTTAACAGATTGGGCTTCATTACTTTCAAAGATGGGTGAGGCCAGACGTTCCTCAACATCAACCGCCCTAAGAATTATTGCTGACAGCCAGTTACATTGTTTAAAGCATGCGTATTTCTTATTTCCAGAAAAATACAATACTTTGAATCAACGTCTATTTAAAAACTTACAAGTTAGGTACATAGACTTAGTGGATCTACTTATTATATTTAATAAAAATTGATATTGAGGTAGTTTGAAGAAATTGCTCCCCAGTTGCACAGCGGCATGTCTGCGGACTTAAAACGCTAGAAACCGGGTTTCGATACTCGTAGTGGGCAGAGCACAGATAGCCCATTGTGTAGCTATGTGCTCAACTTCAAATAAACGAACAAAGGTGAAGAAATTTGTCAACAGTAAATACGTATTGTTACGGCAGCGGAGGTCACGTGATCTAATAACACGTTAACAGTATGTAAACAATGTTTCCAGTGCAGAGCAGAATAATATCTATATTTATGATCCCAGTGAAAGCTCGAGACGTAATCGTTTTTAATTATTAATTCTAATACTCTCCCTTTTATTTTAATGGTGTTTCCCCTATTTCTTTTGTGGGGGCTCATCATAAACGTCTTACGAAATGCCTATAATATTATTAAATTTAAACCTTTAATTGATACCGTTAAAACAAACGCATCTCTTCATGTACGTATATATAAAACAGTATGTGTGCATGCAAGACAAAGATTAAACTTGATCAGCAGAATATACAAGTGAGAATACAGCATTGACCACACACCTATAGACACTAAAATGTATAGTATGGGACTTCTGTTAGTTGTGCAAAGTGCAATCCAATAGTTTAGTTTGTTTGTTGTTATGCACAAAGCTACAAAATGAGTTATCCGTCCTGTGCCCACTACGGGTATCGAAACCTGGTTTTTAGCATTATAAGCCTTAAGACTTACCGCTGAGCCACTGGGGGGGGGGGGAGCAATTCAACAGAAAGGTTATTGGACTGAAATACTGTGACCAATAACTTTAAAACACGTATCACATAGATCAAGAGGATCCGATGGAGTGCGAGAATGAAAAATAGATAATAAAGGGCCTGGAAGCCTAAAATGTAGTAAAAGGTTTATTTTCCATATTAGATATTTAAGAATGTTTGTAGCTTTGACATAATATTAATGCCAACTATCCACTTTGGATTTATTTTTATTGACCCTATTATTGTGAAAATAAGGACAGTTATTTGTATGAAGAATATCGTTCCTCATCTTTCGGAACCTTCAACATCAGTTTAATATCGCTACTTTTTGCTACAATATGTGTTACAAAGTTGGTCACTGGAGCTTCTGAGCTTTTACATTCTTTGACTACATTTTTTCTGGGAGATTACATTTCGGACAACGAATCTAAGTTCCATGCTCGCGCGTGATAATATAACTGGATTTATAAGATGAAGATATCGCCTATCTTATGGGTAATATCAATTTGTATACATTTAAAGTTTTATGCTAAAATTAAAAATACTTCTGCAGTGCTTTAGTTAAATAAATGACACTTCTAATTAGTCAGTTTAATGCTAAAATCTACAGATACAGAAACCTTACTTATTGAACCTAAAATAAAAACAACCACCACTAAAAACACGAATAACTACTTAGCTCATCACAACTGGAAATATGTATACGATACGACCTTAGGCTTAACTACTTATCACAAGAGGAACCAAGCACGGCCGTAAAGCACACACTCATAATTTATCACACTTTGAACCATGTACGACCATAAACACCATTATTATAATTCATCAAAACTGGAATCATGAACGATTGTAAAGAACATGATTATAATTCGCCATAAGTAAATCTAGGGACGGTCGTAAATGAAAATAAAGAACGTGATCATAATTCGTCATGACTGAGATCATGTACGATTGCAATGAACGTGATCATGAGTTATTACAACTGAATTTACGTGAAGATCATAATCGATGTTTTCTACTCACAAGTTTTTCTCTTATGACTTTCTATACTCCTAGTTGGACATTAAATTATCTATATTAATTATTAGATTAAGTTTTAGTTCTAATCTATGAAGGCGGCTTGCTTTCATCAGAAGTTGATCATAATTCACGACAATTGGAATTACGTAAGGCTCCAAAGATATTATCATCATAACACATGTGAAACCATGTACAAAAGTCTTGTTTCCTTTTGTTTTTCTTTATAAAACAACGACAAAAACAAGTTAGGGCATTAAAATCATATATTCACGTAAGTAACTTGGAATATAGATATCAAATACGTAGAAGTAATTTTCGAAAATGAAAATTCAAAAACAATCGTTGGTCAGAGGTGGACAGAAACTAAACACGCCAAAGATCGAACTAAAATTCTAGCTTTGATATTTTTGCGATCAAAATTTGTGATACCCACCGTAAAGGTTGTTATCTAAAAACAGCAGACGTTGGCATTACACAATTCTCGGTGATTTTCCCGTGTCTGCTTAACGTTATCTTATCAGATTAACAAGTTAGACCGAAGTGATTTCGATACAACCTGCGACCTCTAGCGGAAACTTGTTTTCGTGCTTATTCAGCACGTCGCCGGAACGTTCCTAAAAACAAACAAAACTGACAGGTAAGAGCCAGACAAGAGAGAGAACTGGTTCTACAGCACGTGGAATTTCCCTCCACTCCCATTTCTCACATGTCTGCAAGCAAATTAAAAAAGAAAGTTCCAGCATTTGAAAAAAGTAATAAAACTAAGGTATATTGTTACAAAGTGTCGGCGTTCTCTTTCCCAATAAAAAACAAAAGCAGAAATGAGACTGTAACAAAAACTTTACTTGTAACGTTATTTACATAGACGTTTTTGTACTGTGAAAAGTAACAGCATAAAAACTGATTAAATTTGTCCCATAAAAAAAAAAGACAGATAGAGAGAGAAAAGCTTTAAACCTCAAGATAAGTAGAGCAAATAAATAAGCAGGAGATGCTCAGTGTAGTCTGTTTATTTTTCTTCACTAAATAGTTAATAGTTAAGGGTTTGTTGTTTGGTAGTACTATTCAATCTGTCCATTCATAATCAATATAGCTGAAGGAGTGTTTTGCCACAAAAATGTTGAAAGTAGTGTATAAAAATGCTACAATATATATATATATATATATATATATATATGTGTGTGTGTGTGTGTGTGTGTACGTACCATACTCTTAGAATAGTAGCAAAAAAAAAAGGAGAGAAAAAGACTTGCATTTAATCAGAGGTTTCTTTCATTTACTTTTGTTTCGTCTGCTTTGCTTTTCCTGACAAGCACATTGTGTTTACAACAGTTAAAATGATCTGATCATTATACACTAACATTTGTTATTCTATTACCATAAAAAATAAATAACGCCTATCTTACACTAATTTATGAACCTCTGCAGTAATTCACGTTATAGCTTCTTCTGAATGAAAGGTTTCTATTCAGCAAGAGTTTGTATAAGAGCCCTCTATAGGCAGAAAATCTGATTACTTTAGCAAGAGTTGCTGATTGTCTCTGTAAGAGTTATTTCTCCCATCAGCCATGACTCACGAGCCGAGATTTCACTCCTGCATATGTAATGAATATCTTTCGAATTATTTTCAAATGTAGATATTTTAACTTCGCATATGAAGGAGATGTAAGTTTTTAGAAACCACAGATTTTAAACATGAATGAAAACCCGACATCGAACAACAAAAATGGACACCTTAAAATGAAAACTAATTAAAATATTATAAAAAACTATTCTAAAACAATTCTTAATACTGTTAATATTCATTTAAAAAGATGACTATCTGAAGTGATTGTCGCAGAATACGATCATTATAACACATATTCTGAGTTTTAAATTTGATTTTGTACAGTTGTTCCCTCGTGGATCAGCGGTAAATTTACAGATTTACAACACTACAATCCGGAATTATCCGTGGTGGACAGACTGCAGATAACATATTGTGCAGCTTTAAGTTAGCACAAACTTTTATTGTCATAAAACTAAAAAACAACAAGATAAACTGCAGAGAGGTAAAACCGACGTTTCTGGAGACAAAATACTTTAATTACTGGAGAAATGAAAATAATAATAATAATAAAAATAATATTTACAATAATTAACATGCCATAATATGAAATATTCAACCATATGTCGCTTCCTCAATATGTAATTGTTAACAACTAGCGGGTTGATGAACAACCACCGAGAGAAGTTCTCGATTCGTTACTAAAACTAATTAGCTGAGAAGAAAAGCTGTTATTACTGTTCAAGAGATCTGGTAGTCCAAGCAACGCCCTCTATTTGTAGCTATATTTATGTCCGACTGAGCAGGTGTAAGAGGTCAGAGGTGACAAGGACTAAACTAGTTATGACCTGATAAATGTATTATTAAGTGTGTATTAGTATACTAAATTTCTTAAAGCCACGAATCTGCCTAACTATTATCTGTATAAACTCAGTTAACTTCAGGTTTTAAACGCGCATTTTAAACTATGTCATCGACAACTAACAACCTGCAGTTTTATGACCTCTCCTATCTGGAAAGCAAGGCCCACTTACCGCTGAACTCCTTCACTTGCTTCTCGTCTATCCAAAGAGACATATCACCTCCCTTGGGCCTTTCCTTTTCAGCCACGATCGCCGCTGTCCACCATATGATCAGAAGCACGTGACCGTAAGGCCGTAATGTCATGGCCGATCACGGTAAAATCTACAGTGGAGTCACATCCAGATGCTCAGAATTCAGCTAGGAGAGTTTTAAACAACCTGCTGAGGCAAAATCTCGAGAATTTCACTCACCAAGTCCGCTTCCAGCTCATACACTTGCGGCCAAGACGTTGTGGTTTTGATGACGGTCTCCACTACCCGTATAATCTCTTGCTACAATCGCTTGGGATACGTCGTTAATCGATGTGTTGAAGAAGTGGGTTTCCTTTTCAATGTTCAACTGGCTTATATATGTATATGCATATAAGTGTGTATGCGTGTAAATGTCCATGCAGCGTCTGCACACTAGGTGGAGCTACGTTCTTGTTACCTGATTTCCAACTTGACTTCACGATCAAGAAAAAGCTTGGCTTCACCCTATCAACGTTTAGCTTCTTACTGTCTTGTAAATCTATGTAGACTCCTGTAGCCAAAGTAAAAAAAAATCTTCTTGTGACCAATCAACTGAGAGAACACGTTTTACAGGGCTGTTCGAGTCACGTGAACCCGAGGGCGACGCTCATGCTGATAAGAGCCATGTTTCCAACTAGCGCCACGCGGTTTCCATTAACAGTAAACGCTGTTTCTGGGGTGTTTTCGAATATCGAGGACAAAGACACAAGGAAAGACACAGAAAGACCTTTTAACACTGAAGTCTCCCATCAATCAAGGTGAACAGGGAGAGGGGTGGAAGTCAGAAAGATATCAGGGGGCAGGTTTGACACCTGGAATTGTTGATATCAAGACGCTTTGTAACGAGATTGGAAATTCTGTGATAAGCAAAGAATTCCGTCAAGGATCTCGAGTGACATTTTAGTGAAATATTTCACCAACTAATATTTTTTTTAATATGTGATATTTTTCACTATAAATATTTAATTACCCATAAAAATACACTCTCACAAATACAGTTAACTTTTATAGTGCCATTATCTCAGAATAACCGTGAACATGAGTACAAAACAACAATATTGGAGAAGGAAAAGTAAAGTCATTCAGCTCATTATAAAAGCAACCAAGTCACATAATGTCACACATTGTACGAAAACGTGGGTACAAAGTAGTTTAAAACACCTTAACTATGAAAGATCAATAACATTAATATTATATAGCCGTTTATTTCGCGATTACGTGACAATAAGTCCTTTCTTCCATGGTCACGTGACTATAAAATCACTCGTTACATCACGATAAAGAAGTAAAAATTGTGAATTTCTTGGCAACTTTATTATTAATTATATTACATCATTCATGTCACGATAGCTTAACAACCAACTAAGTATTTCAACAAAGCTGTGACGTCAAGCATTTCATGACAGCCGTTATTATGAAGTACTTCATTATGTGATCATTAACAAGCAACAGTTCTGAAATGTGTCTAATACATCTCACTTCACGAAAGAGAATTAAATAAATAAAATAAAAGACGGCTAGCTTAGAGGGACTTGGCGTAGCTTTGCACGAAATCCAAAACAACCAAGTAACCAACCAGACTTGGATTAACTCAGTCAAAAAGTAAAGTTATTTAAAAGTAATAGATTATTTATTCTACGACATTGTGAGGGACTTGGCGTAGCTTTGCACGAAATCCAAAACAACCAAGTAACCAACCAGACTTGGATTAACTCAGTCAAAAAGTAAAGTTATTTAAAAGTAATAGATTATTTATTCTACGACATTGTGAGTTCAAGTCATGATATGTCTTACTAAAAATATTCACTTTATGATATTGATAACACAGGCCTGCGAATTTAAACTTCATAAGTTGTTTTGGTTTTAATAACGGATTTTCTATAAATCAGTTACGCAGATTTCGAAAGCAATATTCATTTTTTTCTGTCACGTAAGAAATTTTTACAAATCGGGAAGAAAAAAACAACTCTTACTCAGATCAAATTATCATTTTGTTTACCACAATGAACATTTTTTATTATTACGTTTGTTAACAAAAATACAAACAAACTGAAGAAAAGGGACGACCATTGATGTCAAACGAATATGCATCCTTATTCATCCGGATTTTTTTTGTGAAATCTACGCGTTTTAGTCTCAAAACTATGTGTTGTGGTCTTTCTTTTGTGTATTGCGTTATGATGCTTTGTGAAAAATCTGTACGTGTGAAGAAAAATGGATATCATTTTCGGATTCAGCGTACAGGAATTACTCTAGAACATGTAAAAAATTCAGAACAATAAAACCATCACAGGCCTGTGTAATTTGTCAGAAATACCATAACAATATTTAAAAGGCTGAAGCATACTTTGATTTGTTGATGTAAATTTAATATTTTAATAATAGAGAATTTTTGCTATAACAGCAAATCAGTAACAGTGCGACAGACACATAATTTAAGCTTAGGTATTGTTACTAATCGTATGTGCTATGGTTAATTCTTGGTTTTATTCCTGATTTGATGACTAGTGTGTTAATTAATTTAGCCACAATGTTGCGTTAATAGTCATAACAATTACAAAAGTACAGATATTACAAAGACGTTTGTATATCTACAGTATATTGAAATTGTAGAATATAAAACCACATAATGATACTACAGTGGATTCGATCCATGATCAAGAAAATATAGAAAGTATTTTAGAAATTATTATATTTTTTGTTTCGTATCATATGGCCATATGATAGAAAATATGATTCAGCGTTGTTTTACTTTTTTGTGAAAATTACTTCGCCAGGTTAACCAGAATGAGCAGTTGTAACCAGTGGTTTGGAAAAACAAATGGTGTTATTGGGATGAGTGCTTCTTTAGACACACAATCAAGAAAACTGCTAAACTGTTAGTTTCAGATCTTAATTTGAGTTGTTCCCATTAATGATCGAATGAGTATTGTATAAATTACGTCCTACAATAATTTTTAGTTTTTGTTTGTTTGTAGTTAAACACAAAGCTACACAAAGGGCTATCCGTGCTGAGCCCACCACAGTATCGAAATCCAGTTTCTAATATTATAAATCCGCAGACATACCGCTGTGCCATCGGGAGAGGGGGGGATACACATTTTTATTACCAAAAATTGACCGACCAACAAAGAATGTAACGAGTAGGCAAAGGACCTTAAAAATTGTCACTATTTTAACAATTTCCTATTTATATTCACCCCTTTGAGCAACTGGATAAAATAAGGCAAACAAGAGCAATTCTCCTCATGAAAACTGTAACAACTTCAGTATATTGTTATAAGCTATATTTTCGACGTTTTAATTTAGATGTTAGTTATAGAGGTTAAGATCTAGTAAATTCAACTTAGATCTAGATAAGTACATTAGTTATAGGTACCAGAAAGCTGTAACTTTGTGCTAGTGAAAGTCAATAATTGAAATATTTATTGAAAAGCTATTGCGTAGTGATTGAGAATTCAGTGAAGTATTCAGTGTTGATTGTTTGTTCAGAATTAAGCACAAAGCTGCACAATGGACTATCTGTGCTCTGCCCACCACGGGTATCAAAATCTGGTTTCTAGCGTTGTAAGTCCGCAGACATACCGCTGTGCCACTGGGGGGGGGGGGGGATTCAGTGTTGAAATATCGAGTAGTTGTCGATCCAGAGAAGGTTGTTTGAGTAAAGTTAATCAGTAAGTTGCGTTTGTTATCAACGGAGCGCAATTCAACAACAATGTCCGATTGAAAACCAACGGACTGTGACATAAAGATACCATGGGTTGCATATAGAGCTCTGTTTCAAATAATTTCCACAGTGAATGGGTAGAATAGTTAACAACAAACTATTTATTTGGCTACACATATAAAGGAATCAACTTTAGCAAAATTAATTAATCTTCCAGCTTAGAGCCTTAACAACTATCAAGTATTGGTAAATGCCTTAGTGACCACCAGTAGGAAGTATCCAAAGCAAAGTTCCAGAACAGGTTTCAGAGGAGAGAAGCAACCTCAGCCGAACATGTGAAAGATTTGGAAAAGATTGATCAATTATTTTATCCACTTGCACCTCGTGAAATGAGAGATTTGTTGGTACGTGACGAGGATATGAGTAGGTGGAAGCAAAGTAAGTGTGCATCTTTAAAGGAAGCTTTCCAGTTGACAACGGAACAAGCGTCTGTTAAAGTCGCAGACTATAATTAAAGCCATAAGTTCGAGTACTATTAAATCATAAACTTTCTCTGACAGCCTAAAAGAACTAGAATGATTATTTAGACAACTGTTAGCCAGAATGGAGAAAATAAACCACAAGGCATTAGCCATATTGTGAAGAAATGTAGGTTAAAGCTTGTACGGAATAAGAACTCCTCCCAGAGGACACAAGAAACAGAGAATTGTTACAGTTGTGGGAAATATGGTCATTGCAGTCGAAATTGTAAGAAACAACAGCTGCTATTCAGCTAAGGAAACAGAGATCAACCCGATCAAAGAAACAACAAAGAACTAATTAACCACCATTAAAACAGGAATTATCTGGACTTATGGGATGAAGTTCACCTGAGAACATTCCATTTGCCCCAAACAAGATATGAAGATCATTATTTGAGGAAAACTGTCCTCAAGTCCATGGGTTTTTTTGTTTTTTTACAGCAAATCTTGCAGTATGTTGACTGACACTGGCAATGAAACTGATGACACTGGTAACCTGATGAAGGACTGTTGCCCGAAACGTCGTATTCTTGTTTTATTAATAAAGTTATTTTAATTTGGCGAGTTTTTACCACTACTTTATATTCTATTTTGCATTTTATATCTTCGCCTACGCAATTATTTTATTTCTTTACAGATTTCGGTATCTGCGATTAGATTTCTTTTGTATTATTCTAAAAATCCTGTATTTAATAAAGGATTGTTGCAATAAAAGTTACTAATTTGACTGCAAATGTTCTGCGAATCTCTGCTAGCAAACAAATGTTATTAAGTACAGCAGTTGTCCTCCTTGTCTTATCTAAATGGCGCTCCTGCATAAAAGAATGTTAGGAGAGCCAACAGCCACTCTTGGTTGATCAGTATTTTATTTTCGTTGCTTCTGTGCTCAACCTGTACCTTTTTGAGACTTCATATTTTAGTACACAATATAAACCACGTTATGGGTAACCTTACAGATGTATATGCTCATCGTAAAGCTTGTTTTCTTTACCAAATTAAATACTTTCGAATTTGACTATTCATAAAAACAAAATCATGACATTCGTGTGCTTACGCTAATTAATAATAATAATAAAAAAACCTGCTTTGCCATATCCTGTCATGCCGCTTGGCATGTTATGCCATATTTGATAGACTGTCACATCAACAGCAGTTATGTCACGTGATTGCGTGAGGCGTTGATTGATAACTTGTTCTATCCGGTCGCGTTTACAGATAATTGATTAGGTGGAATTCATAAAGAGGAATCGGTTCACTTCTGGTTTAGCAGGGTAATAAAGTATATATGACAGATGGTTGAGATTGGCGCT